AAGTTCCGCGGTATTGGTATTCGCATTGAGGATAGTGTCTGTGTTGGTGATGAGAATCCTATCGTTCTGACCACAGAAGCTGTGAAAGAGGTAAGATCTCCTTTTCATCGGTCTGATTTGTTGCTGACATGCTGGGTGCTACTTTAGGTCGAAGACATCGAAGCCCTTCGGGATTAGGATAGAAGGAACAGGAATATTGGATTGATACCCTTCGATTTTATTGTAAACTAGAAACCAGCTCTCCCATTTCTAGAGGTAATGACCTCGTTCAGGTGCAGGTAAACATACAAACCAAGTTTTGGTGGTAGGATAGACGTCATACATTTTGTGATGCATCAACGGGATTGTCCGAACGCGTCCGGGTTTGGGTCAAGAAGATGAATTCAAGAGTCAAGTCAAATTTACAACCAGAATAAATTGTGGTTAAGGGATTTGAAAAAGGACATAGGATCAGGCTAAGCATCAGGCAATTTATTGAAGAGCCTGAATAGCGAGGGAATTAAGAATGTTCTTGGAGGAGGCAGGGCTCATGCTTCGCGCACGCCTATTGTTGTCAGGCGCACATCCCCGAGCCAAAACAAACCCGCCCGGTCTCCACCAACCTTCCCTGACACGCTTAGCCTGGCTCTTCTCTTCGATCATCACCACCACCACCACCACCAACCACCAACCACTCTACTTACTCCTCTTCCTCCTCCCCTACTTTCCTCTGCCCTCCTGTTCTTCCTTCCTTAGATTTGGGACTATTGGTTGGATCCCTTTGGATTTAGGGACCATCTAAGTCTCATTTGTTCACATCCACTCCCTTTTACTATCGTATAATCGCGTGGACAATGGACCTTTTCTGATCGAGTTCTCTGCTCGTCGAGACGTGTAATCCCATCGCGTGCTCGCCTGGAGTGCCCCTCTTTTATTGCTCTTTCAGCCTACTCCTCCTATCTCTTCCTCGTTCATAGTGCTGCCGCTATTGTTACCACATGGCAGCAGTATTCATCCCACCCTCCCCTCGAACCACTCTTAATATGTCGACTCGCCGACCACTCGCAAACGTGCCGAATGCTACCAATTCCCCTCACAGGTCAGGCCTCGTGCCGGCCAAACGTCTCCGGGCGGTGTCAACCCAGCTTGACATCCCTTACGGCCAGCCTCCTCCGAAGAAGCAGGTAGTCGATGGCCAGGACCCGGAGGCGCGATCACCCACCCGTCCCCGGACTTCCGCCTTGCAGAACCCGGACTCCAAGCTGTTTACACGTCGGACCAACAATGCCCAGCCCAGCGCGTTCGAGAGGAAGTTGGTTGCCGTCCGGGACAAGGAACGTCAGAGTCAACAAAAAGTTACCAAAAACGACAAGCCGTCCGCCGAGACGCTTGATGCCATGCGACAGTGGCAAAGACATTATCGGAAGGCTTTCCCCCAATTCGTCTTCTACTTCGACAGTATCCCGGAGGATGTCCGAAGCAAATGCTCAAGACAGGTTCTGGCTCTAGGAGCTGTAAGTTTTTGTTTGCCCCCTCGCCCACCACACTTTAGCCTTGCACTTCGATCTTCAGTAGTACCGGAGGACCTTGGCGTAAAGGGGCTCGAGGTGTACTCGCACCTTATTGATACCTGTTCGTGTGCCATGGACATATTTGCTGACCTTTTATAGCGTGAAGAAAAATTCTTCTCGCGTCAAGTGAGCCACGTCGTGACCTCTCGCCCCATCCCCCCTGAAAATGATACCGTAACCCCGACCGAGATCAACGCGGAGCCTACAGAGCAATTGAATGCGGATGGGACCTTGCAGACCGTTAATCCATCTCTACTCGACAAGAGCGCCGAAAGCCACCTTCATATGTCCCTTAAGAACGATGCACGGCGCGAACAGAGAGGAATGGATGTGCTGCACCGAGCCCGGCAAATGCGCATGAAGATCTGGGCTATCGAAAAACTCCAGCGGATGATTGCTACTATTAATGATGGGGATATCGCGGGCCATACCGGTTCGACTCGGACTACAAATGCTGTCAGTGGCCACACAAGGGTCAAGGGGGAAAACGACCTCTCACAAGTGCTTCAAAACGAGCTTAACGGTCCGTCTGACCGGAATCCTCACTCGGTTCTCAAGGAGCAGATCTTGTTCAAAGGCCCTTTCATCTACGTTCATGACATGGATGAAAAGACCCGGCCTGTCATGGTCCGGGAGTATGCCAGGGTTGTCAGACGGCAGGATGGGACTTGGCCGCAATTCAGAAGCGCACCGCTGGGCAAGTGTCCGTTCATCGACGAGCCGCCTACGAAGAAGGAGCTGGATCGACAACGCGCCCGCCAACGCGAGAAGGAGAAGAAGCCGGTGCCGAAACCCGTTCCCGTTCAAGAAATCCGAGATACGAAATTGAATGTGCCGGGGATCACTAAGACCCTAGACGAGGTCAAGGAGGCAACACCGGAATATAGTCCCGCGGAGGTCATTTGCCAATCAAAGCAACCTGAGATGCAGGAGATGCAGCCGGCTAGACCACAGTCGCCGAGGAAGAGCTCCGAGAGTTTTTGTCCACCTCCAATGCAGCGCACGGGTCCATTTTTCCATGGCCGTGAACCTGCAGCGTCAGGAGTACAGCCCTCGAACATCACATCTGCCATCCGCTCCCAGATGGTTTCTTCGACTGCCGCTGCCCCCGGGGCTAAGGCTGGCTTGAGCAAGGAAGTCCATGAGTTGAAGCGGAAGGTGCTGGAGAAAGGGAACGGAGTAATTGCCGCTGGCACAGTGCCACCATCGCACCAAACCACGAACATGAACACGAATCTGAAGATGAGAACCCATGAGAATCGGCCGAGTAATCTGAGCCACACCGAGAAAGCCGTGAATGTGTTCGATGAAGAGACGATGCAGTTAGAAGGCACCGGGGCACTAAAGCGACTGGCAAGTACCCGAAAGGGGACCACTCCGAAGAAAAAGGAGCGACGGAGAGACCCCAAGCCAGGTTATTGTGAGAACTGCCGGGATAAGTTCGATGACTTTGATGAGGTGAGACCTCCCGAACCGCGTTTGAAGACAGCAACTGACCATTTTCTAGCACATCATGACTCGAAAGCACCGCAAATTCGCTATAAACAGAGCTAACTGGGCCGAACTCGATTCCTTGCTCATCCAGCTGGAGAGACCCCTCAAGCCTAAACTTGCATTGTAAAAGTCTGGCACGAGAATACAGTAAAAAGGTGGATATATGATATGTACAATATATCGCATTTCTCGAATCATCACATGAGTCGCCGTGTTGTTTTCCCCAATGCTCAGCAAGGGATCATATACGAAGGGCCTTAGCACCTTTTCCTTTCGTCGAATGTCGTACATACAACTTTGCATGCGGTTCCGAGCAGGCACCCTCATCGTCAGCCGATGATGTATTAGCGTGGTCTACATTCTTCACAGCTGTCCTTCCTTCTTCTTTCTTATAATTTCTTATCACGTTTATTGCTATTCACATCCCCAGCCAGCCTATTCAAGGACACCTGGCATCTTTGGGTTTTGGCAGTGTTTCGTGCTGTCCGTCCTTGACCTATGAGGCAAGCTCATGTGCATGGAACGGCCCTTGACAGCGGCGGAAGTTCTTCTCTTGGAAAGGCCCACGTGGCAGCTGAAGTCAGCAAAGCAGGGGGTCGGGCATGAGACTGTACGGGCTGCACGGCGGTTGTCTTGCAAACTGCATGCGGTCATGCTTCGGATGCAGGAAGCGAGCTGTCCAACATCAGTGATAAGTCTCGCGGTGGCGTCTGCATGCAATGTGACCGACAACGTCGCCCGTTTCGTCCTCTCACTTCGCCCCCTTTTCCATTTGCCTTCGGTCGTCTACTCTTCTACTTTTCTTTTCTTCTCGGTTCAATCATGGTTTGATGTGTTTCATGGGGGGTTGCATACAAGGGGCTGCATTCCTGGATTGGTGTTGATGCTTGATGCTTTGCATTTACGTTCGGTGGTTGTCTCTGTCCATCTCTTTCTCGCGGTCCTTTCCCTTCTGCTGGGGCTATCGCTAGGTCCCCTGAGAGATGGACTGGCCCTGAGCTTGACTGGCTATCTAGGTAGCTTCGCACGTTTTTCATTATAGTAAGTAGGGCTAGTAAGCTGGTTAGCAGCTCTTATCCACAATTTACATAGGAATGGAATACTTGATGATCACTGGGGGTTTCAGGATACAATAGCGACTGTAGGTATAGTATTTAACCTGTAGTGTTGTTCAATTTTCCAGAGTACTACTATAAGGTAACTACTATGACCCTGTTAACTCCCAACTGTTTGAGGCAGGCCCGGGACCAGGAACTTGTCACTGCGGCATAAAATGCCTCGGCCCATTTCCTTCACCCCTCATCGGCACCGGAACAAGCCCAGCCCCCGGCGGAGAAGCCACCGCTCCCCCTCTCCGACCAATGAGATACAGTGGCAACCCACCGAGTGCCCTGGGCCCGCCCAACAATCGCCCCGACAGGGCACATTAAGACCGGCAGAATCGGACAAAAGGGAACTAAGATTCAAAACTCTTGGGAGGTACTTCAACTACGCCGCATATACCAGCACGCGAGCAGTCGCTTTTCTCAACCATCAACAATCTACGCCGTAGATATCAGTCCATCGGCACTTGATCTGAGATTTACGCTGTAGCTTGCTTTTCCAGCAAAACTCGAACCGTAGCCAAGCATGCCGGGGATACTGTACAGTAAACGCCTCGGGACCTCGGAATCAATCCTGGTTTTGTGGTGTGTGATGATGCTCGGGACTACGCTGCATATACCAGCACAGCTTACGGAGTATATAGGGTCGGTGGTATAAAGGTTGAACTACCGGCTGCGGGCGGGAATTCTTGTCTACGATCATACTTCATATAATTCATTAGTGACCAACAAACTCAATCTTTCTTTTCCTTTCTTCTTTCTGTTGAAGGAAATCCGGTTCGAGGTATTTGGGGTAGCTTAGCTTTGCCGTTCAAGCTACAGACAGTACCGTACATCCCGCCGGAAGGCAAAAAAAAAAAAAAAAGTGATCACTTGCGACGATCTACGTCACAGCATTCGCCTTACACAGTCTATCTACACTAACGAATTCCATCCCCTTCGCCGCATTCGGATCTTTGTTATTCTTTTTCGGTGTCATATTCGCCTCTCCGTCTCATCTGACCTGGGTTTTGGACTGACTGGTGGATTGGATTGGTGCTGCGGGGAAAAATTCCCTGAAGCTTGCAACTTCGTTCTCTCAGTCCCCAATCCATCCTCCACGCTTTAACAGATTCAATCGGTCGTACACCACAAAAGAAAGAACAGTCATGGCATCGTCAAGAACCCCGGCGACCCTCCTCTCCTCCTCCCTCCGCCGGTGTCGGTCAATCCCCTCGTCTGTCTGCGGCGCTTTCTCCCGCCCTATTCCGACCACTACCACAACAAAAACATCTCGCCCCCTCCCCGCCCTCACACAACCCACCCTCTCTTTCTGCGCGCAATATGGTCTACCGCGAACCCAGATCCGACACAGTTCGCACTCCCCGCTGGGTGCTGCTACCGCCGCCCCGGCCCGGAAGAAGGTGACCCTGCAGACGCTGCGGGGCATGTACAAGCGCGGGGAGCCAATCACCATGCTGACGGCGCATGACTTCCCGTCGGGCCATGTGGCCGAGGCGGCGGGGATGGATATGGTGCTCGTCGGGGATAGTCTGGCGATGGTGGCGCTGGGGATGGAGGATACGAGTGAGATCCTGATGGAGGAGATGCTGCTGCATTGTCGCAGTGTGGCGCGGGCGGTGAAGGGGGCTTTTACGGTATGTTTTTACTTTTATCTACGGATGGGAAGGGAGGGAGGAAGGAAGGAGAAGCAGGGAAGGCTGGCTTTGAGCTGGGAGCTAATCTCCTTTTGCGTCGGGTTAGGTTGCCGATTTGCCCATGGGCTCCTATGAGGTCTCCCCGGAGCAGGCCTTGCAGTCGGCGATTCGCATCGTGAAGGAAGGGCGGGTGCAGGGGGTCAAGATTGAGGGTGGGGAGGAGATGGCGCCGACGATCAAGCGCATCACGCAGGCGGGAATCCCCGTGGTCGGGCACGTCGGGCTCACGCCGCAGCGGCAGCATTCGCTGGGCGGGTTCCGCGTGCAGGGCAAGTCGACGGCGGGCGCGCTGCGGCTGCTGCGCGACGCGCGCGCGGTGCAGGAGGCCGGGGCGTTCATGATGGTCGTCGAGGCGGTGCCCGCCGAGATCGCGGCCATCGTCACCCAGAAGCTGCGCGTGCCGACCATCGGCATCGGGGCCGGCAATGGCTGCTCTGGCCAGGTGCTGGTGCAGATCGACATGACCGGCAACTTCCCGCCGGGCCGCTTCCTCCCCAAGTTCGTCAAGAAGTACGCCGATGTCTGGGGGGAGGCCATCAAGGGCATTGAGCAGTATCGCGATGAGGTCAAGAGCCGCGCCTATCCGTCGGAGCAGTACACCTATGCTATCCCGAAGGAGGAGCTGGCGGAGTTCGAGCGAATCGTCGAAGAAGGCCAGGACAATTGAGTTTCTTCCTCGCTCAGAAACGTTGATCATTCGGTTTCATTTGCGCGGTTCTATCGCTTTACATACCCCGGTGGAATCCCTGTCGCTGGTTGATGCGCCGTCTACTTTTGTATAGATACCTTTCCATTTCCATGTTCCCTAATCATACTCCCATAGGAGACTCTGTTCATAAAATCGTCAAGACCATCCACTTTGAGCCTCAAGAGGGCAGTTAGCGAGCTGTTAGTCGTGTTGTTCAGCGGACAAACCTGTAAGCCAAAGCGGTAGCAATTTCCCCTCCAGTGTCCAACTTACACCCCGGATACGTCTTTCATCCAAAGGCAGGGGTCATAGAATACGCAACAATGAGCTGCTCATCCGTCTTAAAACACTAGACACGAAAAGATCAGAATCCAAGCGTCCTCTTTGCAACACCTCCAGAAGGACGAACTTACCCGCCACAACCCCCCAATCCCTTCATCCAACCCCGGCGCAAAGACGCTATTGACGTAGCAGAAGACCGAGTCGGTCTCCTTGCAGTCCAGCCGCTTCCGAAGGAAGTTGACGACGGTCTCGAACTTCTGCGAAGCGCTGACCTTGAAGACCCGGGTTTTGAGAATGGGGGCCGAGGGGAGAGGTTGAAATCGGACGGTGACTGCGGGATTTTGGTTGTGTTGGTTAGTTTCAGGACGTTCTACGTTAGGCGGGCAACAGGTGGGCGAGCGATTTGGCTTGTGGAACCGATCGATCGGATCGGGGGCCGCTGATCTTTGGCAAAAGAGAGTTCAAAGATTGGGAGTGCTGCTGCTTGCTGCTGCTTGATGGGCATATACGACGAGTACTGGACTTGCCTTTGCCCTTGTCTACGGCTTCTGCATCCGCCAGTGCTTGGTGGGCATCGCGGGGCAGACTGGTCAACACCACGGAGGCGGATAGATTCATCGGTAGATCGGCGCCATGCTTGTCATCGGGGATGGGCGTATGTTGCGCCGTAGACGCTGAGGAGTCGGATGATTGCGTGCGCTGGGCTGGTCTGCGAGGGAGGCTGGTTTGATCGGGGTTGGGGGAGTTGCGGGCTGAGGGGCCGTGGGGGGAGGGGGAGTCCATGTTGATTTCGTCGAGGCTGCAAGATAGCACTCGAAGGTGTGACGATACCCTTGTCTAGAAAGGGAATTGTATGTCGATGGGTGGTGGTGTTATTGATGTCTAGTTCAATTATTGGCATAGCTTAATGATTGCGTTTCATCCGGGCAGCGCAGATGACAGGCAGCCCGGCAGTCGACACCTGAGGCCGAAATACACCCATATGCTCCCGAAGGATTGCCGGCTTGCAGTTGGGGTACAGTGAAGGTTTAGTCCTTGGGCCACTATGCAGATGCAGATGCCAGGATGTCGATAGCTGGCGGGCTCCAAAATGAGAAATTGTTGTAGCGTAGTGGAGTGTGTAGTGGAGCGTAGTGTAGTCGTACGGAGCAAGTTACGGAGTACGGAGTACAGTATGTACAGTACGGAGTACACTCACTGCACTATCCAAACCAGCGCCTGACCGCCTCCTTATGTACTGTACAGTACAGTGAGGGACTGAGTGACTGCCGGGCCTGACCCGTCAAACTAAACTGCGGTTCCGTCACTCACTCACTCACCCACTCACCTCATCTCCATCCCACCTTTCGCTCTTGTACTACTTCTACTTACTTCCCTTTCTCCTCCCGCTTCCTCTTCTTCTATCCCCTCATACCCTCTTTCTTTCTCACACTTCCTACACAACTCGCTCCCTTACCTCTAACTCTGTCCTTGCGTTCTCTGCAACCAGATCCATTAATCCAGCGCCTTGGCCCTCTGCATCTGCCCTATCGCTACCCAGATTCGCCCCGCTCATTGCTTCCCCGCTTCGACCTTGGGGAAGACCTCAACCTCCAACACCCTGACATTTCTCGTCGCTTGGCCTTACTGGGACCCGATCGCGTTACCCCCGTACTGGAAAACATCATCCACGAGAACCACAAGTCCGTCAATCTGTCAAAATGAGCAGCCCTAAGCGGAGAATCGAGACCGATGTGAGTATCCTCCTCCCGCACCTGTGACGGGAGTGGCGTAAATGCTGACGTTGGTGTTCTTTGACAGGTTATGAAGTATGCTATACCACACGTGCCTCGCGATTGCATAGTAGCTAACTACGGGTTCACAGGATGTATGCGCCCCGGTTCACGCCGTTCCCCTGTACCTACGCCGCCGATGGAGATAGTATTCATGAAGACAATTCGAGCGGGGTGGGATAGACAGGCATCATGCTGATGGACAACTAGGTTGATGAGTGACTATGAGGTGACTCTGGTCAATGATAATAGTACGCTGCTGCCATTCTGGACCAAGATGTGCTGCATATGCTAACAATCGGTCTAGTGTACGTCTCATTGCGTCCGGATTCGCAGTTGAGATTCATGAGTTATTAATATACTACCAGGCAAGAATTCTACGTCCGCTTCAAGGGCCCGGAGGAGAGTGGGTGTTCTCGCATTCCACGATTTAATCCAAGTCGAATTTGTTAACCAAATTTAAGCTCCGTTCGCTGGTGGCCACTGGAAGATCCACGTCGAACTCCCTGATCAATACCCGTACAAGAGCCCCAGCATCGGGTTCGTCAACCGGATCTTCCACCCGAACATTGATGAGCTGTACGTGCCGTAGTTTCCCAACAACTCGACCCCCCATGGTCTGCCCCAACTCACCTTTGGTTTCTCTCCACCCAGTTCCGGCTCCGTCTGCCTCGACGTCATCAACCAGACCTGGTCGCCCATGTACGACATGATCAATATCTTCGAGGTCTTCCTCCCTCAGCTCCTCCGCTACCCCAACCCGTCCGATCCCCTCAACGGTGAAGCAGCAGCCATGCTCATGCGCGAGCCCAAGACCTACGATGCAAAAGTGAAAGGTAAGGGGATACATTCCTTCACCTTCGGCCAGACCCCCAGTAAACTAACCCGCGTTGAAAAGAGTATGTTGCCAAGTACGCCAGCAAAGATGCCGTCGACGACGCCGGCGAAGACACCGAGTCGGAAGACGAGCTGAGCTCGGCCGGAAGCTATGAATCCGGTGGCGAGGAGCCGGCCGGTACGATGGATGATGTTTAAAGGAAACCCAACCGACCGCTCTCACCACTCCGCTCTCTCTCTCTCTCTCTCACACACACACAATCCTTCGCAACCATGCCCTTGCATCTAGACTGATTTCAGTCACTTTCTTTTCCGCCCGTTTCTCTGCTCCTGATTTGGACATTATACTCCCATCTATATCGCATTGGCATTGCCTCGTCCTTTTTTTCACACCTCTCCGCCTCCATCTTCTGCTTCCCTTCTCCCGATTTGCGATTTATTTTTATTATCTTATCAAGTGAGATCACATGCCGGTGTCAGGCTGGAAGGCGTTCCTTGGCGGAGTTCTTTTTTTTTTTTTTTTTTTTTTTTTGTCTTTCTCTGCTGAAGTCCGCTGGTGCAATTGAATTGTCTTTATTCCTCGTCATGAGGATGTTGTTGGGGATGCTGGAGGATGGGTTGAGCTGGCTGTCAAGTTGTGCAGCTTAGGTGTACCGTACCACTCACTACCTACCAGTGACGTCCCATCTCTTTCTTTCCCCACGTCGAGTTTCTCAAGATAATACAGAAAATTCCAAATTCCATGCCAATCAGGTACAGTCTATCTGCAAAGTAGCACAACCGACAAATGTCTAGGTCATAGATCTCAATTGAAAAATAACGTGCGCCTCAGTCTGAAGTGGCCGGGGCAACAATCATCGTACATAAAAGATTGGGCAGGATAACAGCTCATGCGTACCCCACATCACGGAGAGACCAAAGTAGAGAGGAACATGACAAAGACAAAACTGTAAAAGAATCCGACAATCAAAGAGAGTGAAAAGAAGAGGAAGGACACAGGGCTAAGCCAGGGTATTATGAAAAGGGGGAAAGAAAGATCCAACATGGGAATCTACCATCAGATGGTGATGGGAAGGAAGAAGAAGAAAAGGTAGATATGAAGGCTCAAAGAAGGGGGCAGAAGAACGGAAGATCGAAAAGATTGACAATAAAACGCCCGTCGCCCGGCGACCCATGTTAATGCAAGATGAGTTTGAGGATGCGTAGGAGGGAGGGAGAGAGGATTGCCGACCGATGAGGAGAATGTCTTTGCGACCTCATCTTGGAGTCAAGTTGCTTATGTCTGTTTAAGCAACAGCTCGAAAAGCGCTGGCGCAGTGTTGCCTGGTTGCTGGTCTTCAGCTCAGACGGAAACACCGTCCGTGTCGCGCTCTCCCTCCCTGCCCTTCCCCCGCCCCCAGTTGGGTTATTCTTTTTGTTCTCGTCGATGTTGATTTGAGGATGGCTTTAAGTCACTTTCAACACCCCAAAGACATCCCTCGACCCGTCCTCATCCGTGCTGGAACCGGGCCGCGAGCGGTTCTTGCGCGTGTTGATCACCACCTCCCCCCAATGCTTGGGGACCGTCCCGCCGGGTTTGGGCGATGCGGCGGATCGGCGCGGCGCGCGCGGCGGGGTCGTGTCTGTTTTCGTGACTTTGACGGGCGGAGGGGCTTCTGCGGTCGAGGTGGAGGGGGCGACGACGGCGCTGGGAAGGGTCGCGTGCGGTTGGAGATGGGGCTGCGGTTGGATCGACCAGATGTCGATGACGGAGCTGTAGATTTCCAAATTCAGTTATTCGCTCGCTCGCTCTCGCACAGAATCAGATGGAATAGGGAAGCAAGCGCTGGTATGTGCTTACTCCGAGGCTCTTTGGCAGATGGCTTCTAACGCTTCTCGCTCGCGCTTGAGATAGCCTGGGTCCGGGTGGTTGCCGGGGCTGGCGTTGTTGAGGGATCCGTAGCCGTAGCCGGGTTGGTTGTAGATGTCTTCTTCGAGGAGGCGGGAGGATTCGCCCTATGCAATTGGCAGTGTGTGTTAGCGGGGTTTACTTTGGCATTTTGTTGAATGGTATGTTATTCTGAAATAAAAGGGTCTGCGCGGCGAGCTTTCGGCGCAATGTCTGGCTCAGGAGAAGACGTGAAATTGAAGGGGGTAATGAGAAACGCACATCTTGGCTTTCTGGGGGACTACGCCCCAGACATGAGGCGCAAATACCCATTCCGAATGTTGAAGGTCGATTGGGTCTGGTGGTGGTGTATTCTAGTCAAGGCGAGAGCAAAGGATCTTGTTCTGGACGTGGTGTGACGTTGGCTGGGGATGAGAGATAACACGGGTTGAACTGGGCGATCAAAGCGAGCTGGCTAACGAGGGACGGTCTCAATTCAAAGGAAGGTTGATTTGCGGAGTGAAATGGACAGAAGCGCACCAGGCGGTGATACTGAAGGTGAAGGAGGGGTTGGGGCGGGGGGGGTGGGTTGGAACGAGTTGTTGGTGGTTGTAGAAGTCGAGATAGTGAGGCGTCCGTCAGTGGAGTCTCCGTCAACCGCATGAATGAATGCCACGGGCTGGCGGGCATCTTCTATCTATGCCCAATCCGTCCGACAGATGTGGCCCGTGCGTGGCGCTAACCCATCATCCAGCCACTATACTATACAGTGGTAGCACAATGCATAAGTTACTCCCTACTTGTAGGAGAGTAGCTAGAGGGATAAAGATGTGATTGTACCAGTAGGCGTGTAGAGAGTCACTCAGCACAGAAAACAGCTACTGAAGGTCGACTGTCATGGCATTCCTTCCAACAGCCCTTCTCCTTGTAACCCATTGCTCTCATCGGCCGATTCGAGGGCATAGAAATGAACAATCGGTTCATGCAAACAGAGAAAACTCTAGAAACAAGTTTCGAAACATATCCCCAGTCCAATTGTTTCCTGAATTCAGCAATCAGACATGTCCAACCCATCTCTCAGGTTGATGGGTTGAACAAGCGCAATGCATACAGCCAATGCTCCGGGGCCGTGGCCGCACCGGATAACCACCGGTGGAAATAAAGCTGTCCGCGGCCGACGGCCGACATTTTTCGTTTCCACCGCTAACCCGCAATCCTCTAACTGGCAACAAAGTCACCGTCACCATCCAGCACGCAGTGCAGATAAACGGATCTGTAACGCGATCGACCCCTTCAAAAAGCATTAGCTTGCTTATTTCTCGCATTCGATTGGTGACCGCTTCCCGAAAACCGACACGACACCATGTTTGACCTTCCCATGGCAAAACGGTATGCCGATTTCCACGACTTGCGCTTTGCATTGCCCTCCAACCCCACAATCCCACTAACAGAGCTCCCCTATCAGCGTTCGACGCGATGAGCTACTCTCCAGAGACTCAGAATCACCTCCCGCATCCCCGCCCCCTGAATCCGCGCTTCCGGATGTCCAGCAGCGCCTCGGGGAATTGCTCAATCTCGACGCCCTGATCGCACCCGCATACGCCGCCCCTGAAGCCACCCAACCACAGGACAACGAGCACAAAGCGGAGGATGAGGAACAAGAGTTTGAATTCCGGTTGTTCAGTGCTCCTGCCCCGGCGACAGCCACGAAACCCTTGGCTGGTGCGACGTCGGACGACAAGGACGCAAACGAGAGCAAAGGGACGGGCCCCGCCCCCGCGGCGGGGGTGGCGCAGAAACTACGAATCCGCGTCCGGTCTCCTACTCCCGGGGCCGGAGGTCTGGAGGATGGCCGCTTGGTGAACCCCTTCCGTGGGTATGGCCACTACTTCACCGCGCCCGGGTCGATGACGGGGGGAAAGGCGGACAGCTCAGAGGAGGAGATGCTCCGTGCGAAGAGGCAGCAGTTTGAGGAGGTGGCAGTATCTGGGCTGCAGATGCTGGGGTTCGCTCAGGTGCCGTGGGTAAGTGTCCTACCTCTTTTCTCTTGAGCCCACTGACGTGAGGAGCGCGCTTGGCTAACTGTATTTCTTATAGCCTGGTTGTTACCTTCCTTGGAAAGTGGTTCATCTGAAGAGTGAGAAGAAGGCGAAGGGAGCAAAGAGTGCAGGTGATATCGACACCCAGCCGACGATTTGTGTGGTCGAGCCGCCCGAGAGGGTCTCGCTTTCCAGCAAAAAGCCTGGAAAGAAGCGGCGCATCCAGCTGCGGAAGCGCCGTTCGGCCAAGGATGAAGCGAAGAAGCGGCAAGAAGAGGAGGAGCAACGTAAAGCAGAGAAACGCAATCGGAAGAATCGCGAGCAGAAGCTCAAGCGGAGACAAAAGGCCAGAGAACAAAAGGCCGCTGCAGCAGCTGCCGCCGCTGCCGCTGGCACAGCCGAAGGCCAAGGTGCTCAGGCTGCTAGGATGGATGAAGGTGCTTCCTCAGATGGAGGAAGTGACTAAGGCCCTTCGAAAGTGTATTATGTCTACCATTCATTTTTAGCCTATGATACCCGTGCCGATATCATGTTCAACAATTATCTTCTTTTACGAATTTTACACTTCTACTGCGACTAACTCCGCACATGTCGATCTATTTCGAGTTCGGTTCAGACGATTAAAACGGTATGGAAGGCCAAGCTAATACAAACAAGATAGGGTATTTTGAGAAGATGATATCGACCACAGAGCACAAGGAAATCGGTAGCAGTCAATGCTGGGTATGAGATGCAAGGTATTAAGGAATTCGAGGGTGAAAGAATGGAAAATGCGTGGAGATCACAACGCATCGCTCGTCGCCATGAGTTCGGTTACTTCGACTCTTCGGCTAGACGCAAACTGTTAGTCAAGGCCTCGTTGTTGAGTGATGACTGGCTTACCCTTCGCTTGCCCAACAGTCTCGGCAGGCTTGTCGGCAGCAGCCTCAGCAGCGGCCTCGGCCTTCTTCTCCGCGGCGTGGTCCTCCGCCACGGTTTCTGCGGTTGGTGCGCCCGTGTTCAATTCCAGAACCGGGGCAGTTGAGGATGTCACAGGCTCAGTAGGCTCCGGCTTCGCTCCCTCGGCGGGGGTCTCAGCGGGGGCATCTGGTATCATTAGCCATCAGTGCTTCCATGGGGCATTCATAGTCGCTTTACTCACCAGCCTGGGGCTCCGCAGCAGCAGCAACATCAGCAGCAGGAGTGGCTTCAGAATCCTCCTGGTCGGTCTTCTTCTTACGGAAGATAGACTTGAGCTTAAGCTTCAACTTAGCAATGAAAGCCGGCGCTGCATTCAACGTTAGCTAATCTTCTTCTCATCAGTTCAAATAGCAAAGGCAATGGCACGAACCCATTTTGAATAATATGGAGATATTAGGTAGAGGTAACTGATGGTAGAAGAGAAGCGAGTAGATGAAGCCTGGCAGGTAACCGGCTAAAGATCACGACGATGAAGTAGTTGTTGAGGATGTGGTCAAAAGAGTGACTGAGGTTAGAGAACTGGAAACAGAGAACAAAGAACAAAGCAGACAATGACTTCGCAAGTCCCAGTAGGTATTTGTATTCCACGTGACGGGGGCACGGTCCTGATGGTGATGATCGTCTGCCTGTCTAATTTGCCTATTGCTGCCTCCTTTCTTTTTCATTAGCACCACCACGTCCCTTTTTGACTCCTTTTTTTTTTTCTTTATTGTTTGCAGGCTTCATTTTCCACCGTCACGACCCCGCAGGCACCTGTTTCAGGTCCACCGTGCCCATCAGGGGAGAATAAAAGGGAAAAGATTTGACATGGACCAATTGACTAATCTTGGTAGTGCTCCGTTTGAAAGTCGAGCTGGTGGACGACTCCGTATGGTTCGAGAACGGACGAAGAGTCACCCCATCATCTATCTATTGGCCACGAACCAGTCGATCTGGGCCCGACTATTCTCCTTCTTGCCATGGTGGCTTCCTTTACACCATTGGTGTATGTCCGTTCGTAAACGAGATGATTCCTAAACCGCCCGTCCCAGCTTCTTGTTGTTGACCGGAGATGAGTTGTTGCGATCTCGGGAGACCCTAACTCCCCTCCTAAACTGCTGGTCCAAACGGGAACATGACTTTCAATTCAGGGGGGAGGGAACACAAAGGTCTAACCTGTCAGAAAAGAAATTTCTTACATGCTACTCGAAGGATCTGACGACTTAGTATACCGATGATGATAAAAACAAACGAGCTACTGATCCACTATTACTTAAAGGAAGGTCCTGGTAATACGCTTATTTGAAGCTATTTGAGCCAAACCACTTGCTCTGGTGGGGTCATCTATATGAAGTCACGGAAATTGCCCTAAACATGGATCCAGCTTGAACACCGCCAGGTTTGCAATGCAAGCCTCTTTACCTTGTAGATGTTCTTACAGCGGTGCGAAGCGAAAGAAAACGAGGACTAAGAAGAAATGGATAAAATTTCCCAGGGTCCATTTGACCCCCCTCTAATCTTTCACTTTTCATCTATCACAGTCGTTTTCATTTCGGGCTGGCTGCGTAAATGCATCTTGGGCCGTCCAACTGGCAAGGGCCTGTCTCATGACGAGATCGATTAATAACTGCAAGCAGCGTTGAAATCGTGTTTCAGCAGATGTCTGTGCTGCCATTCTGTTCAAGATCGCGCTGGCCTCGCATCTGGTTCTTTTTCAAGGCTTCTCAACACCCTGAGGTCATCGAGTTATCTATTGGATGACTAGTGACTAGTGACGGCCGGCATGGGTACCGGATTGATAGGTCTAGTCCATAAATAGGCTATGCGCGAGAGCGATGGCCAGCTCTGTTCTTTTCGTCAGGGGCAAGAGGCTCCGATTGCAGGTAGCTTAGGGCTTTCGGCAAGCAGAAGAAAAATCATGACTAAATAGGTCTGGATGATTGATGATTGGGACAGGGGTAGAAGACTCTCTGTCAAGATCCTTGCAACTACCATGCGAGATTGCTTCAGACATGGTATCTCTAAAGTCTGAGACTTGTGCCCTTATCTCTGGAGTGAAGAAAGTTGTTCCTAATCAATTTACTTGTTGTTTGGTGACTGGAAACAAAATGAAAGGTGGCTGACTAACCAACCACCACCGATCTCTCTGCCGCCTTGCCGCGCGGGAGATATCGTCATCCTTGCACTCTATCTGGAATACCTCCCAACTTCCCGCGCTGTCAGATGTCGCTGTACAGTGAATAGACCTCGATACCAATATAGAGATGTCCCCTGGTCAATTCGCAGCAGATATCCCGTCCACAAGGCCGGTATCGGAGCAGACTCCTCTTCTTGGGGACCAAAGGCAAGATGATCTCAATCAGCCGGGTGACTCTCCGGTTCCGTTAGCCGACGAACCCACCACCAGGGAGCTGATCCTGGTGATGGGGAGTGTCTGGGTGGGCGTCTTTCTTGCTGCCTTGGGTGCGTGACTTTCTTTCGACTCCTCTGTTAACTCCCCAGCTTAATGTAACTAGATACCACGATTGTTGCAACCCTGAGCGCTCCGATCTCCTCGTCCTTCCACTCCTTGTCTCTGCTATCGTGGCTGGCCACGTCCTATCTGATATCCAATGCCGCCTTCCAGCCGCTGAGCGGTCGCCTGACGGATATATTCTCTCGTCGGGCAGGACTGGTATTCTCGAATGTCTTCTTCGCTGCGGGGACGCTGATGTGTGGACTGGCCAAAAGCGAAGGTGCTATCATAGCGGGTCGTGTCATTGCGGGTATTGGAGGCGGTGGTCTGACAGCCATCTCGACCATCATCAACTCGGACCTAGTCCCGCTCCGGAAGCGAGGGATCTGGCAGGGAATTGGGAATATTTGCTACGGTGCTGGAAGTGGTCTGGGTGGCGTCTTTGGCGGATGGATCAACGACACGCTGGGATGGCGGTGGGCTTTCCTGATCCAGGTGCCCTTCATTGTGGTGTCAGGCATTCTGGTGACTGTCATGGTAAAAGTGCCAGTCAAGGACACCGACGATGCCAAACTGAAGCGGGTTGACTTCTTCGGAGCGTTGACCTTGGTCACCACGCTCGTGTTGTTTCTGCTCGGGCTCAACACGGGTGGGAACCAAGTGCCATGGACGCACCCGCTCATCCTGGTCTCGCTGCCGCTATCCGCCGTGTCGTTTGCCCTCTTCCTCTATATTGAAGCCAAGATTGCGGCGGAGCCGGTTATCCCAGTCCGGCTTCTTCTTGATCGGACTGTCTTTTCTGCCTGCCTGACCAATTGGTTCAGCACCATGACCGTCTTCGGGCTTTTGTTCTACTTGCCCTTGTTCTTCCAGGTCCAGGGCCTCTCCGCTACTGCCGCAGGCGTGCGGTTGATTCCGCAAGCCATCGGCACGTCCATTGGCTCGCTGGGGGCTGGCGTTCTCATGCGCTCCACAGGACGCTACAAGGTGTTTGTCCGCATCACCCTGACTCTTCTGGTTATCGCTTCCATCTTGATCAGCACTTTGTCCCTCACGACTCCGTCGTGGCTCCCTTTTATCTACTTCTTTCTGATGGGCACGGCTTACGGCAGTATGCTGACTCTTACCCTGGTGGCACTTATCTCTGCCGTGGACCACGAACATCATGCGGTTATCACATCTGCATCTTACGCCTTTCGCAGCACGGGTAGCACGATTGGCATTACAGTGGCCTCCGCCGTCTTTCAGAACATTCTGAAGTCGGGGCTATGGAGACGATTCGGCGATCGGGAACATGCGGGAGAGCTGATCTCCAAGATCCGAGACAGTCTGGATGAGATCCACCGTCTCCCTGCGGACTGGATCCCAGGGGTCTTGGATGCGTATATCGACTCCTTACGGGCGGTATTCCTTACACTGCTCGGATTGGCGGTGCTGGGAGCGTTGGTTAGCATGGGGATGCGGGAGCATAAGTTGCACTCGAACCTCTCTCGCCGTGATGATTAGAGCTGGGTTGAGTTGTAGTCGAGGGGTGCACTATACACTGCATACACCACATACACTACAAGGTATACAAAGTATGTACTTGGGAAAAGAGTAGTCGAAGAGTAGAAAGCCTCAGAGAATGGAAAAGACTACCTAATGAATACATCATCGGGGATTGGGTGGCCTGAGGCCCCACATTTCCCACCCTTCCGCTCATCTTGGCGGTTCTTTCTCCAACGGCATTCGTTCAATTTGTCTGTCTCCTTCAGGTTCATGATTAATGGAACCATTCCTCATGCATGGCCAGTCAGTGTGCCACTGACTTCTTTCTTTACTCTCCTTGCTTGCAGTGGGTTGTGACAGTCCCTCTTTTTTTGTTTCCCTTACACCCTTACCCCCTGACCCCCTCACAGTGCTCTCATCACCCTGAGATCATCATCCACCACCCTCTTTACACATACCCATATCTATGAGTACAAACCTGGTGGCGTGCAGCAAACGAAAAGACGTGGCGACGCCTGCCTTACCAAATTCACGCCCAAGCTTCCTCCCCATCTGCGATTTTACGTATTCTTCTGCAAGTCCCGCTCGGCCATTCTCCAACACACCGCTTCCTTTCCCTCCTACTTCCTCCGATCAGACCACCAGTCGTTCAACACGTGCTGTTGCTTCGAGGTCCGCCTCCTCTTGACTTCCTGTACATGGCTTGCACTCGGTAGTTCAACATTTGGGAGGAGAACGGCCTTCTTGGGTTGCAATTAATTGCCCTGCCACTTCTACACATTCCCTTTCCCTCTTTATCTTACCGCCTTGTTCTTCTCCACTTCTTTTCAACGCGAGCATTGCCCTGGTTGCGATTAGTATCCTTGACGGTGACAGGTACAATTTGCTTTGGTGACGATCCCTGTCGGCAAGCCTTGTTCTTCACGGCCCTGTTCTAGCTTGGACGACTCGGGGGCTCACTCAGCTATAATACCGTGCGCAAGGCCCATACCACACACACACCACCCCCGGTCCGATCGACCAATTCTCCTTTGTGACACCCTTTTTCCCTTGCCCTTCTTGAATCGGATTGTTATGGCAGTCGGGGTCGGGACGAGCATCTCCACGACATCTACCGTTGCAACTGTGGTCTCTAAAGCTGCTTGGTCCTCGGAAATGGAGGTGGATTCTGCGAGCGAGGAAATGGTCACTGCGCATACAAGTATGGTCGGATCCTGCATAGATAATGAAATGAAAGATGTCGCTGGCCCTTCGACCCGCCGTCGAAAACGTTTACTCCTCTCCACTGATAGCGCGTTCGTCGACAATGTACTCCCCTCGTTGGTGCGGAATCCGGACATCGAGCTACGATTGATCACCGACGAGCCCTCGGCTCTGCTCTCGAGCGCCAGCAAAGTCCCCCATTACATGGACACGGTGGATAGTCAGACCTTCGAGAAGAAAACGGGCGCGCGGAAATGGCTGAAGGCCAAGGCGGCGGAGCTGTGCGACTGGGCGGACATGCTCCTGGTCGCGCCGATCGATGCGGGCGCTCTGGGATCCATGCTGTCGGGCTTGACCAACACCCTCACGCTGGCGCTGCTCCGGGGCTGGATGTCGTCGAAACCGGTCGTGCTCATTCCAGGCATGACCGTGTCGGAATGGAACCATCCGCTCAGCAAACGGCAGCTCTGGGAGGTGCGGCAATATTGGTCCTGGATCAAGATTGTCACGCCAGTGCTGTGGAAGCCCGGGGATACAGAAGAATTGATCCAATTGCCCTGGGATGGATTGAAGGTTCTCCACGACACGATCGAACAGACTCTGAAACTATCTTTCTCGGAAACACATCCTATCTCCGGCCAACCTTCAGATAATTCGAGCGGGCCGCCGGAACCGACGCAGACCGGGGATGTGCCCTCAGCCATGTCGCGACACTTGCTATATCGCCTGAATAAGACCGAACATGGTCCGCGCTCATTACCGATGGAGCTCTGGTTGAATATTTTCGAGGACCAGTTACACGACTGGGAGATCGCCAAGGCTGTGGGCATCCCCACGAACCTCCCCGTGCCCAAAGAATGGCAGAATCACCTGCTGAAAATGTCCACACCGGCCTCGCTCGAGTACACCATCCTGCGAGGATCGTTCGCGGCGATCAAGAAGCGCATCGACAGCCTCCCACGCTGGAAACCCCTCTCCGATCTCTCCCTTCATCTCATCTTCAAATTCTCCCGAACCGACATCCTCTCCTACCTCATTGAGAAACAGCACGACCTCCTCTGGACGACCTCTCTCCTCAGCGTCCTCCCCTACCGAGCCTCCGCCATCTACGGCAACCCCAACCTTCTGACCTGGTGGCGCGACGCCCCTGACCTCCCGAACAAAGACTACACCACCGACGCAATGGACGGCGCCTCGCGGGCCGGCTTCGTCAACGTGCTGGAGTGGTGGCGCACCTCCGGCCTGGAACTGCGGTACACCGAGCGCGCCCTCGAGGCCGCCAGCGCCGAGGGCCAAGTCGCCGTGCTGGACTGGTGGAAGCGCGCCTCCTCCACTTCCCCTTCAACCTCCTCAAACCCCGTCCTCGCCAGTAGCCGTCGCACCCGCATCCCGCTGAAGGTCGGCAAATCCGTGCTTCTAGCCGCCCAATCCGGCCGCACCGCCTCCCTGGCCTGGTGGGACGCCTCGGGGATCCCCTACACGCACGGCGAATCGGTCGCCCGCATCGCCAGCACCCACGGCCACGTGCACGTCCTGGAGTTCTGGCACCGGCTAAAGGGCGCCAAGATGATCTTCGACAGCCAGGTCCTGGTGGGCCCCACCAAGAACGGCCACGACGCGGTCCTGGAGTGGTGGCGCCGCAGCGGCCTGCGCGTCGAGTTCAAGACCTGCGACATCGAGGAGGCGCTCGAGGACGCCGACCCGGTCTCCGGCGCCGAGCAGCGCGTGCGCACCTGGTGGGCGCGCAACGGGCTGAACCTCGGCGTGGGGACGAGTGAGTGGATGAAGACGAAGGTGCTGTAACTTCAATCTCCTCCTTCTCCGACCGCGCACCCTCCCCCTACTATCCTTATTCACCTCCGGACCAACATTGCAAATATCCATACAATTTATCCTCACCACCCGGCGCTCCCCCAGGAGCCATCTAAGGGCTGGAAATCCGCACACACAAATGGCAATAACCCGAATGAATGCTTGCTTCATATTCATAATACCCCCACTTACACACCCTTGCCTTTCTCCACCTACAGTATCATATTTCTTTTCTTGCCTGGCGTTCCGAGTGATTGTTCTTACCTATATAGACTGGCCTTGATCACGATGATGACCACCAACCAACCTGGGAAATACCTTTTTGTGCCTGCTTTCTGTCATAATCTTTGTTTCTTCCTCCAAATATTGCATACCATTTCACTGAAATAACAACGGGGAGGGGGTTGTTCTAGTTCTAGCAGGGTGTCGGTGTCGGTGTCGGATTTGAAGTTAGCCTTGATTTTTTGAATCTTGTGATCCATAGTCTTGCATACTTGAACACACTGCATCTATATCGGTAATGAAACTATGTAAGAATTTTCTCTTTCGGTTGATTGTTCTTGTAGGTAGGAATATTCTTTTTCTCGAACGCTTCTAGCTCCTGAGATTGAGGATCGAAAACAGGCGGGAAATGGATGACAATAAGCAAAACCATAGAGTAAAACTCCCGTTGGAAGAGAGTGACAGGGACATTTCTTCCCCGAGGCCTCAAGAAGAAATCAGGCTAGACGACCGTCTCAAGGCGTTGCTGAATAAGATAGAGTATAATAAAAGTAGCATTCGGGTCATGAACAAGTCGAAGCGCACAAGAAAGAAAAATTAGGATGAAGAAAGGGCCATGGAATCTGAGCGCCATCGGAAAGGACAAAAAGCAACGCCGTCCTGTCTTTGATAAACACACATTCACATAAACAAAACACGTCAAGCATTCAGACTTCCTTCCTGCAACGGGGGTTAGTCATGGTTTTGAGGGGTGAAACAAAAGGCTGCTGGACTTCCGAGGTGGGTGGGTGTACATACCAGGTAGGTTCACTTCTCTCATAGGCAGGGGTACGGATTTCGTTCCGGTCCCCAAACGGATTGTTCTCATCGTCGTCCTCATCGGTCTCGGACTCGCTGTCACTGTACGTCTTCCGTCTCGACGAGGAGGAAGGCATGGATAAGCTGAGCGGCCGGGGCGGACGCGGAGGCTTAGGCGGGTTGACCGTCAACCCGGCGAAGGACTCGGGGAGGTCATCGCGGTCCGGGGTCCAGCCGCTCTCGATCACGTCTTGGTCGCTGTCACTGTCGTAGTCGACGCTCTTGTCCAGGACCTCGAAGGCCATCAGCGCCGTGACGAGCTCCTCGTTGGCGTGGATCAGACTGCCTAGGTACTCCTCGCTTTCAACGTGCTGGATGTACCGCAGGATCTGTCGCCGCAGCGTCTTGCAGGTCTCAAACCGGTTGAGGACCTCTGCATCTTCGCTGACCCGGTGGGTCTCACGGTTGACCAACTTGAGCGCGTTGAGAAGGTTCGTACTGGCGACCGAGGAGGACGCCAGCGTCTGCAGAATCTCCGGCTTCTCCTTGTCCAGGCTGAAACTGCGGCTGAGCGTCCTCTTCTCCTTCTTCTCCTTGCGCGAAGAGCGGCTGGATGTGTGCTTGTGTTTCGGCCCACTGAGGACCGTCGCGGGTCCGTTGCCGGCGGAGACCGACACCGTATGCCCCATCACGGGCTCGTCGGATGTGGCCGAGTCGCGCAACACTTTGGCCTTCGCCTGGGTAGCCGGTTGCTTGCGTTTGGGCAGCTGGCGGTAGAGCGCCGTCACCCGCTCCATGCCGGGGGTGTCCTTGTAAGATGCGGCCCATTGTCCGAACAACTGCTTGCATTTCTGTTTGACCAGGGGATCAGAGACGGGGTCGGTGGCAGCGATGCGCAATCGCTCCAGCAAGGGCTCGTCCGCGAATTCGCGCAGAAACCGGTCGCCCGTGTTCTGTATCAAGAAGTCGAGGATCGTGAGCGCTCGTAGTTGGCGGTGGAGATTGCCATACTTGCTGCAGGGGGTCGTTAGTGATTGGGAGAGGGAAAGGCTGGCTCGACTGACAGCTTCTTGCGCAGCGCACGACTGGCCTCCCGCGGCCCACTAGCTTGTATGCGAATGGCTTCGATCAAGTCGACAATTCCACTGGAGTCTTCGACATCGTATTGTTCGCTAGTGAGTACTTCGATTTGCACCGTCACGGCGGTGTATGGCTTCTATGAGAGTAGCAAGGTGATCAGCACTTGAGGTGGACTGATGGATGGTCCGGCGTTCAGTCAAAATGTAACAAAGCAGAGACGATTGTTTGTTCAAGTGCTGGTCTGCTGTCCGGACGGCAGTGGGATTGGCCCGTCGCGTGGATTTCAGATAGACTTACCGAGGAGTGAAACATGGTGTTTAAGAATGTGTCTTAGAGCAAATGCGGCCGTTAAAAGAAGTCGTGTGGTTTGCGAGGGTACTGCGGACCGGTAAAGGTAGCGAGTACTTTCACATGCGCAAATGAACAATGGCTGCTCCGGACAGGGTCGCAAAATGTGGTTGAGAGGGATGAGGTGATTCCGAAGCGGAGACACTTGATGTGATGTACACCTATAATGCTATTGTAGAGTCCCTATGCAGATCCCAATTCGGATGGACTAGGGTATATTGAGGAGAAGCGCAGGAAAAGCGCAGAGCGGTGACGTGTAGACAGTGAGTGTCTGGGGGGGGGGAACTGTGGGCTTGTCCTTGGCGGGTGCAGTCCTCAGCCCAACCCGCAGATAAGGGTGGAGTGTGTTTCTGCTTTGAATTTCGGATGGAAGATCCCAAAGGAAAGATGCACGCACGAGGGAAGAGAACAGACGAAGGAACACCGAATGAGCGCCTCCAACGTCATGCGGGTGGATGTGTGCAGTGTGCAGTGGTTTGATAAACAACATTAAGTAGACGGAGAGAGTGTCCGTGACTCCGTTGCACTTGCAATCTCGTGACTGATTCGTAGTGCCCCTCGCCAGTTGCCCCATTGGGTCTAGTGCGGGGAAAAGAGACAATACAATCAAATCAGTGCCTGATTCTGGCCTGGGGCTCCTCTTTCCGATGCCGCGCAGACCCAATTACGTACTCACTGCCCCATTCCTGGATAAAGGAGAGGAGGGGTATTTCGTTCCCCATTTCTATTGAAACACCTACACATAGAAATTTATAAGAATCACTACCCACACATGTAGAGGAGGAATTGAAAGCAATTGATATTCTACAGAAAGTCACTTACTCAGTAATTATCCCCCAATCCCCCAATCCTCCCAATTGACCCCTCTGGCGTGAGCTTGGAATGGGTCTTCGGTCTCCGAATTCGGCAGATCCCAGCTCCATCCGCAAACCGCGACTCTCCATCTTCTCCCGTCTCGTCGTCTGCTCCACTCTGCTACTGGGAGTCAGCATCATCTTAAAAGCCCGCCACCATCTACTCTCTCCTCTTCTCCCCCACTTCTATTCCTCCTCCATCCCTCACACCCAACCCGCGACCATGGCCTACCAACAAGAACGCTACATCGCTGAACTCGCCGTTCAGCGCGCAACTCTCCTCACCCAGAAAGTCTTCAACGAGAAGGCCAAGGGCACCGTCTCCAAAGATGACAAGTCTCCTGTCACCATCGGCGACTTTGGAGCCCAGGCTCTGATCATCCAGGCCATCCGCAAGAATTTCCCCAACGATGAGATCGTCGCCGAGGAGGAGGCCAGCACCCTCCGCGAGGACAAGGCGCTGAGCGCCGAGATCTGGAGACTCGTCAAGGACATCAAGTTGGAGGACAGCGAGAGCGACAACCTTCTGGGCGGCGCCCTGCCGAGCGAGGAAGCGATGCTGGACATCATCGACGAGGGCAAAAGCGCTGGTGGTGCCAAGGGTCGCGTCTGGGCCTTGGACCCCATCGACGGCACCAAGGGTTTCCTGCGCGGCGGCCAATACGCCGTCTGCCTGGGCCTGATTGAGGACGGTGATGTCAAGGTTGGAGCCATCGGCTGCCCCAACCTGCCCGTCAACGATTCCGAGACCTTGTCCGCCGGAATCGGTGCGGAGCAGACCAGCGGCGCCGGCAACGGGGTCCTCTTCTCCGCTATCCAGGGTGTCGGAGCCATCAGCAGACCCCTGACCAACGCCGGTCTCGCCGAGAGCAAGTCAATCTCCATGCGCCCCGTGCCGGACATCGCCCAGGCCGTCTTCTGCGAGGGCGTCGAAGCTGCCCACTCCGCCCAGGGTGACAACGCCGCCGTCGCCGAGCGTCTCGGTATCACGGCCCCCAGTGTGCGTCTGGACTCCCAGGCCAAGTACTGCTCGATCGCCAGAGGAGCTGGTGACATTTACCTGCGCCTGCCGGTGAAGAAGGACTACCAGGAGAAGATCTGGGATCACGCCGCTGGAGATCTGATCGTCCGCGAGGCGGGCGGTCAAGTGACTGATATCTACGGTCAGAAATTGGACTTCAGCAAGGGCCGGACCTTGGCTGCCAACAAGGGTGTCGTCGCCGCCCCCGCGGCCATCCACGACCAGGTCATCGACGCCGTGAAGGTTGTTCTGAAGTTGTAAAAAGAGGTTACGAATTTCCTGTTATGCATAGATTGTGTGATTTTTTTTTTCATGTTGGCTACATAATCTGTCAAGCTATATCCACGCTAGATGCGTCTAAAAGTACACAAATTTCAAAATACCAGTCGCGAACCCAGAGAACCATGCTCCGATATACATATACAGGTAAAAAAAGGAAAGAAAAGGAAAAATCCCCCAAAGGTATAAACGACACCCGATCACCGAATCTTCTTGGCCTTCAATCTGATGGTCTCTCCGTTGACGAAGATACCCTTGCCCTTGTAGGGCTCGGGCTTGCGCCATTCGCGGATCTCGGCCGCGAACTGCGTCACGACTTCCTTGTTGACACTCTCGAGCAGGATACGGGTCGGCTGGGGTGTGCTGGCCTTAACTCCCCACGGAACGGGGAGTTCAATCGGGTGAGAGTATCCGACCTTCAGGGAGACGAACTTCTGGCCTTTGAATTGGGACTTGACGGTGGTCGCCTGAGACTCGATCGTGGCTCTGTAACCAACACCGACCATACTCAGGATACAGATGTGACCTTCCGACACTCCCAGAATGTAGTTTTGTAGGTGCGAGCGCATGGTGCCTGATTTCATCATCTTCCAGTCAGTCGGCCCGTTCCAAAGCAGAGAAGTAATTTCCGGTGAGAAAAGGTTATCGACATACCCCACATAGCACGCTGGTGTTTGATCTCCCGGTCCTGGACGGAGAGAGTGGCCTTCCGGAGGGCTTCATCGTGTTCGATGTTGACGAAGGGAGGAACTTTCAGGGTCATTTTACCTAGCATTCACTTCTCGTTAGAAATACCATAAGAGGGGTTTCCTCGCCGGGCGGGAAGTTCAGAAAAGACGGGGACTCACCCAGAGGGCCCGACACCTCAATTGCAACCTTGGGGGCTTCCTCGGCGTTTCCTCTCACGGCGACAACCGGGAGATCGATGAACTTAAGAGACACCTCCGGGGGAACGGTAATCGGGGCACTGCCCTTCCGCGATTGTGTCGGGGAAGTGGTCGAGAAAGGTTGTGTCCGGAGAGGGAGAGCGAAGGCTGAACCGGGACGAGCAGACGCAGTGCCCGTTCTCAGGGAGCTCCGCGCAAACTGCCGGAGGCAGCTCTGGGGTAGGAGATTCGACATGGCGGCGTGGGTTGCGACTGGTGTTTTGATTGACTAGTCTGGGATTCTTTTAATGCGGACGGATTTTGTCCGGAGATCCTGTCTCCCTAATCCGGTTAGTGCAGATCACGTGAGAGGACATATAGATCGGGGTTGGGTGAGGTCTCCCTACAGCTTCTACTTCAGCTCTGCACTCGTGATGAAGTGATGTTGGAGCTGTCTGGCTAGCCCTACGGGTCTTTTCTCCGCTGGGTTGAGGTTGACTTATGGCTTAGCCTAGAGAACGGGGATAACCTCACTTTCCCGCTTCACATCTGTCCTACTTCGTTCCACTCGCTTATACCTTAGCAGTGTCAACTTGATGAATCTGCTACTTTATGCTTCAATTGACCTAAATCCTATGAACTCATAATCTCCTAAGTTCTATACTGTATTACTATAGCCTTTATTTGCTCCATACTTCTTCCTGGTACAATCTTACGGACCCTTGACACTAATATCCACCATGAAATTACTGACTGCATTGTCCTTCGTCGCTATCATGTCTCAGCATATCATTATATCGGTGCTCATCTTTATCCTTACCCTCAGCAGTCTCGTGGATGCAGTGCTTCCGGAGAATGGTACGTCTCCATGTGGCGACTCTCACAACAATCGCTAACGATGCAAGCAGCTCTCGCAGGCAACGAGAATCGTGCTATGGACGAGATCGACCTGGCATCGCTCCTTACTCCACGAGTCCCGAAGCAAAAGCCCATTATACAAGAAGCTCTCACTCTTATCGATTCCATGAAGCTCGCTCCATCCTGCAACCGGCTCGCAGTATCGGAGCTCGTCTCATCCTGTCAGTCAATCGGACGTCGGGCCGAGAAACAAGACACGGATATATACTTGGACCTGGAGCTTGTGCGCTCACTTTATGCGGCCCGTCTTGCCATTTGTGAGCTCCGAGAAGCCAAGGCAGCAGCACCAGACGCGTGTTCCTCATTGATGATTGGGCCGCCGCAGAAGAGAGGCAGGTTCGGATTTATTTTCAGCGATAGAATCCGCTTCAGCGCTCCGGACGTCATTCAGAAGCCGCACTTGGAGTCTTGCCTGCAGTCGTTGGAGACACGACCGCAGTGGTGGACGTCCTATAGCAACAGTCGGCAGAATGCCGTGGTTATATGTCAGGCGGCCAGGGATGAGACTGAGAAGGAGGAGCTCCTGGAGCTTTATCGAACTATACTAAATAGCTCTACAGAGCTGGAGCGTGGTCTCCACGAGGCCTTGGAGGTCGCTGCAGCTGACCTTGCGCGCCAGAAAGAATTCATGCAAGCGGTCGGTATAATGAGAAGCAGGATGAGACAAGAGCTGGAAGAAACCGAGATGCGCTTGAGATCGACGATTGATCGGATTTTGCACAGCCTGTACGCGTATGCCGTTGACTCGTTTAAAGAGTCCCTTGGGCCTGCGATTGACACACTGCAGCAAAAGACAGACAGTCTCAAATTCGTGAGTTTGCATTTGCTTACATGACTAAGGCTAAGGCTAACGATCTGCCCAGAAACTCCAGACTGTTGCTACCGAAGCTGATAAGCTTGGTCAGACACTACACGCTCTATACCAAGAGTCTGCCAAGAGGGACCAGGAATTGGCGGATGCGCAGCAGAAAGAACTACAGACCACCAGGGAGACGGCCCTGGCCCATCAAGAAAGCCTAGGGACACTTTGCCAGGATAATCTGGCAAGGCTCTTGCAAGTCGATGCGTCTTTGGTGAGTAATTGCTATTAAAGCCTTTCAGTGAGCTGATTGTAATAGGATCTGCTGTCGACCAGAATGGTATATATGTTGCAGATAGCGCAGAGCATGAATGAGGTTTGCAACAACTTTCAAAGCAACGAGGACAAGACTGACTTTCATAGCGCATGCCGGGCCTCCAGAAGGCACTCAATGAGTCCGAGCAACGAGCCGAGGTGCTACATCAAACACAGCTGCAGCAGTACGAGACCCTGCAAGAGGCTTCGCGGTTACACAAGCAGCAACAAGTCCACTTGAATGGCACGCTGGCCGATCTTGACAGAGCAGCCGTCAGAGCTGCGACAATGCTCAAGACATTCGACAAGATGGGATCTAAGTATTGGCTGGATCTCGTGCGAAAAGTAATTTGCGATGCATTCTGGATTATGTGTAGCGTCGTGCTCCGGGATGTAGTAGCAAGGGCAGTCGCTCTAACTTGTACGGTCTCCTGTCCTCCGCAGTCTATAAAACGACGTACTAACGGGCTTTCCCTCTAGTCAATCACTTGTTGTAGCGTGGACATTGACTCTATCTCATTCGACATCCATCTTAAGTATGTGTTTCCTTATTGCTGATTTAATATTCGCATGGTGGAACAACCTAGCGAGTAGTATTTCCTTTCTGCGCTGTAGGAATATACTACGGAGTGCAAAAAAAAAAAAAACCAACATTCCCTTTGCTTTTCCGAGGTTTCGTCGAACTTTCTGTATTCAGACTTCGATCCACCAGATCATTGAGCTTGCACATCTCTCAATTCGCTGCCTGTTCCCTTCGCTTAGTGCGGTCTTCGGTGAACCAATTCGACTTGCTTGAATGGAATGACGCATGGAGTATGTGGTACTAGATATTGAGGCGGCACTCAGTTCGGTAGAGAAAGTGAATGCGAAGTGATGACTGGTCTGTTTCTCAGGAGCATGTGTCTCCGGGCCTCGGCTTTGTCCTGGTGCTGTATTGTAAGACAGAGTTGTGTTTCTGACAGGTAACAGAAGGAAGTCAGTTCCTTCCTTCTAAGCCAGAATGGGGCAAGGGCGCCGGCCCTGAAGGTAGAGGAAGGTATCGAACCTTTTCTCCGCAAAATGCGGAGAAACTGACGATCCCCGGAAAAGTGGCTGTGGGGTACGGGGGGAAAGCCTCTGGCCCAACCACAGTCTCGCACTTGCTTAGCTGGACCTTCGGCTCCGCTCATCTGCCGGCATCCATCTTTTTCTCTCCTCCAAACACTCCCCACTCACTCACTCACCCAATTCCTCACACACCGGTACAATTTCGGGGGATTCTCAAAGCTTGACTGATTACTCTGCTCTGGATGCCTTGAACTCCACATTTGATAGGCATTACTGGTGGAGCCGGTGAAGCAAGCAAGTGGAAATGTATCCGAGCGAGAAGGGCTATAAAAGGGCCCCTCGTCTCCTCGAGGGCTTCATGATTCTATCCTCCCTCCCACTGCAGTTGCGCTTAGAAAGAGGTCCGTCAGCATGAGAACATTACACCTTATCCTGCCCTCATTGGCATTGGGCTCAGCCATTTCAACCCGACAAGATTCTTTCCAAACCAAATGTGCCAAGTTCGCAAGCAAGATTGATCTACCCAATGTGCGAGTGAACATTGTGGAGTATGTGGCCGGAGGAGCCAACCTCTCTATTCCAGACAATCCCGCTACTTGCGGCGCTACCTATCAGGCTGTGACGGCCGACTTTTGTCGCGTTGCTATGGCGGTTGCGACCTCAAACAGCAGCGAGATCACATTGGAGGCATGGCTGCCTCGGAACTACACTGGTCGGTTCCTGAGCACGGGCAATGGAGGGCTCAATGGCTGTATGTCACCTCTCTTCTACTTGTTCTGCATCATTTTATTCCTAGGTCTGACGTTTTCTTAAGGTGTCGGGTATGATGATATGGCGTATACAACCGGATTCGGCTTTGCGACGGTCGGTGCCAACAACGGACACAATGGCACGTCTGGCGAACCCTTCTATCAACACCCAGAAGTCGTCGAAGATTTTGCCTTTCGGTCAGTTCACACTGGGGTCGTAGTCGGGAAACAGTTGACCAAGCTCTTCTACGAGCAAGGTTTCAACAAGTCTTACTACCTGGGATGCTCCACCGGCGGTCGTGAGGGCTTCAAGTCCGTGCAGCAGTTTCCGGACGACTTCGACGGTGTGGTGGCCGGTGCCCCTGCCATGAACTTTGTAGGCTTGACCTCCTGGAGCGGTCACTTCTACCCCATCACCGGAACCAACACCTCGGACAGCTACCTCTCTTCTGAGCTCTGGAGTGTTGTCCATGATGAGATCTTACGTCAATGCGACGATATCGACGGCGCGCACGATGGAATCATCGAAGATCCTGATCTCTGCCACCCTATCATCGATACGATCATCTGCAAGCCCGGTTCCTCCTCGACCAAATGTCTCACCGGGGCCCAGGCAAACACGGTTCGCCAGATCCTGTCCCCACTCTATGGGCTCAACGGGACCCTTGTCTACCCTCGTATGCAACCTGGCTCGGAGGTGGGTGCCTCAGCGATCTACTACGGCGGCTCGCCCTTTTCCTACAGCACCGACTGGTACCGCTATGTCGTTTTTAGCAACCCGGATTGGGACCCGGCCACCTTCAATCGACACGATATCGCCGTGGCGCTTAAGCAGAACCCGTACAACATCCAAACCTGGGATGCGGACCTGACCTCGTTCCGCAAGAGCGGCGGCAAGGTGCTGACCTACCACGGGCTCATGGACCAAATCATCAGCTCGGAAAACTCCAAGCTCTATTACTCGCGAGTGGCCGAGGCGATGGACCTGCCGCCGGCAGAGCTGGACGAATTTTACCGCTTCTTCCAGATCAGTGGTATGGGTCACTGTGGGGGCGGTGACGGCGCATACGGCATTGGGAACGTGGCAGACTCGTACAATGGCGTTGCGCCAGAGAACAACGTGCTCATGGCCATGGTGCAGTGGGTGGAGAAAGGTATTGCACCGGAGTTTGTGCGGGGGGCCAAGTTTGTTGATGGAGTTGGTAGTGGAGTGGAATATACCCGCAAGCATTGTCGCTGGCCCCGGCGCAATGTGTACAAGGGTCCAGGCAATTACACGGACGAAAACGCATGGCAGTGTGTATAGTATACGAAAGGAAGAAGAAATCGTGATGGTGCAGCAGAATTGAAGTTTAGCATATTTGGAATTACACAAGTCTTGAAAGAAGAGGAAGCTTTTTGGTCAGCGCATAAACCACGGAAGCCTTGTAGAATGTACAGTGCTCAGCTCAGTAGCACAAGAGCGATCTGAAACAGCATGAGATCATTTTCCAGCCGATGCTTTCCTTTTCCCCTCATCCGTCCGTATTAGGGTTGGTGTCCGGCAGGACCAGGCGGTGAGAACCAGCAGTTTCCCCTCTCGAGCTTCCTTGGGCTTCGCTGCTGCTCCATCCATCTCTGGCCCAAGTTGACTCTTGAGAATCACCGCTTCTTTCATCACTCGATTACATCTTATATCTTGATCTATGTATGTACTACTACCTCTTCTTGACCCTTCATCCCTCCATCATCCCCCGCACCATGAGGATTGTATCCAGACACGAACCAGTTCAATCCAGACCGCCCTAGCAGTTAGTCGGAGTTACGGCCGCAATGACTCGCTGTGGTGGTCTGGTTCGGTTGGGCTGGGCTTGCCTGCAGACAAACTTGGCTGGTTGGCATGTGGTTCGTCTACTTTTCATCCCAGTTCCAGCTATCTCCCATCGATATTTCAAAACTGTCCACCATTGCTCTGAATACCCTTCCCTGCGGTGGCCCTCCGTTGCCCTTTGTCCCGCACCAGAAAGCTGACTGTTCTTCCCCGCCTCCGCGCGCGGAACTAACGCTGATAGTCTAGCTAGCCTTGATTAATCGCCCTCCTTGGTTCGAACCACACAAGCCGCCGGAGACCTCCAACCTTTCACGGATCGCATTTCCTGGGTCCACCCTTCAGCTTTTCTGCGCCGTGCCTGTGCGATAACATATACACAGACGATCTACATCTATTTTTGCCTTTGGCTATCCATACAACCATATCCTGCGAGACCGAAAACGACAGGCCCGTAAGTGACGTCCCTGCCATGGACGAGTTCGCGCAAACACGTGGAGGGGATGACCTGTTCGACGATGAAATCATCCCTGTCTCTGCAGAGCAACAACAACAACTGCAACTGCAAGAACAACAAGAACAACACTCCCTACCGGCGGATGACCACCAGCAGTCGTTTGAAGAGAGTATCGCGCCCACAACAGCATCAACTACTATCGATAGAGACGTATCATCGCCTGCGCGGACTGACACGCCGTCGCGGTCACGCGGGGGTGAGCGACGGGGGAGGGGAAGGGGAGGTAGAGGGAGCCGGGGTGGGCGTCGGGGGTCGCAGAATTCTGGCCGGAGGGGCGATTCGAACGTGAGAAATAATCACAATCATCAGAACAATAAGACTGCCGCGGAGAGCCCCGTGGAGGGTGGCGAGGACAGCAACAAGAGTCCCGTGGAAGAGGCCACGACTAACACCCCTCCGGCTGGGGCTGCGGCTGCGGAGACGGAACAACCGGCGGGTGAGAAGCCTGCAGCGGAGGGCCCGCGGGTGCCTGCTGTACGTGGAGATCGGAGTGCTACGGGTGGTATCAAAAAGGTACGTTTTTCTTCACGGGCGCGGGGCTTGAGGGTGGACTTGGCGCGCGGGGCTAATGGGTTTTCGTTTGTCTGTTTAGCCGAAACTCACGGAAGAGGAGCTCTCGCGTCGGATTGCGGCTGCGAAGGAAAACGCTGCCAAGGTTGCCGCGGCGCACGCTCGGGCTGAAGCCGACCAAGCGTCGTTTCTTGAGAGGGAGAAGGTTGCGGAGGAGAAGAGACGCCAGGAACGGGTACAGCGCCGGGTCATGGATAACGAGCGGGAACGTAACCGACAGCGGAAGTTGCAAGCCTTTGCGGGCCGGGAGTGGGATGCTCAGAAGAAGGAGGAGGATTTCGCCCCGCGCGGTGGGCGTGGGGGCTTCCGTCGAGGTATGCACGGTGGTGTTTCTGGATACACTAGACGCGACTTTGAAGGCCAGCCGGGCGACCAGCCTAGTGGTGAGGCTCATGAGGAGTCCCACGGTGACAGTCCTCGAGGGGGTCCTCGAGGTCGAGGCCGTGGGGGTCGCGGTGGACGTGGCCGCGGTGGTCATCGTGGCCCACGGGAGGAGATTCCCCAGACAGATGGTCTAGCTGAGAATTTGCCAGGTTTGGGTGAGTCAAGGTGGGCTCCTGCTCCGGTGATTGACAACGAGGCAGACTTCCCTGCGCTTCCCGGCAGTGAAAAGAACGGAAAGGACACCTCGAAAGATGCCCCGAAAGAGTGGGTCAAGGAGGAACAGAAGGACACTCAGAAGGAGGTCGTCCAGGACTCCTCCAATGAACCTAAGGAACTGAAGGAGCCCCTCAACGCCGCAACGACTGCAGTGAACCTGGATCTTCTCAACGTGGACCCTCTATCACCGATGGAGGGGACCTCTTGGGCTGAACAAGTCGAGTCCCAGTGATACTCTGTTTAGGTCTACGTTTTGATTCTTCTGTGGATTCTTGGATTGTTGAAGACCTCCATGATTGATGCATTTATTATAATTCCCCAATTACACTTGCTGTGGGCTGCGATCCAGAAGATTTTTCTTTTCTTGGTATTCTTATTGTTCCATAGCTGATAAGTCATGACGTGATGTACATGTATATACAGAGCGCACCGCATTAGCTATGGTAGAATCAGTAGATGAGAGCCAAATTGAGAAACACATCACTTCTTCTAAATTTGCTTGTGTTACTATGTGTAGTAAATGGCAGGGATCACCAATGCCTGGGGTAAGTGAGTTAATGTGAATGCGAGCAACTTGACCCCGAACTTGGGGGGTGGCAAGGAATGACGTGTGTTCATGATGAGATCACCAACCCTTCATTCATCCACCCGATACTCGTAATACGAGTAGGGTATATAAACCCCAATCCAGCAGATCTCGCAATATATCTAGTTCAAATCTACACTATCTGATATCATCTTAACCAGTGAGTCTTCACTTCCACCTTTTCCATCCTCCGCACAACTATACAGCATACAACGCCCAACCATATACTTCCACCGCAACCCCCAACTAACTAGAACCAAACCTCCAGCATCACAATCACATCCATTTTTCCCCACCTGCCGTACATTCCCCACAACAACACCTCCAAAGAAATCCATAAAAATGGCCTCCAACTCCAACCGCCTCCCACAAGCCACCAGCGGCGGCGCCTCCGCCGAGCCCACGCCCGCCAACAACGCCGGCGGCGGCAGCGGCTGGGGCGACTCGGGCCACCCGAAGGGCGGGGTTTCCGTACGTTCTTTCCCTTCTTTTCTCCCTTTTCCCTGTCCTGTCCTGTCTGGTCTGGTCGTATCCTGTCCCTTTGCCACCCCCTGTGGCCCAACCAACCCTTGACCTACCACCTCACTCACATATACACCCCGCACCGTCCATCCGCTGACCCGTGGTCGAACAGAGCGATGTCCTCACAGCCCCGGAGTTCCGCGACATCAGCGACCAGAAGTCGGCGGCGGAGCGCAAGTTCCTGGGCCGGTTCGACGAGGGCCACGGCGAGCAGGAGGGGACGTGCGCGACCGAGGACCACAGCTTCATGGCGCGGAAGCCCGGCGGGGCCGGGACGCTGCCGGGCTGGGAGACGATGAAGGATAAGTTGGGTTTGTAAGCTTCTCCCTCAGGGTAGAATAGATGCAGTTGGTTGGCCCGAGGACTGGCTGATGAGGCGTATTAGTCTCTATCCGGAGTGAACCTTTCTCTTAGCAGGGGGGTAGGGGGGGTTGTACAAGGCTTCCTTGGTTTTGGTCCAGTGGGGGTGGAGTTATTTCTGTGGCTTTTCTGGGTTGTATTGTTCTTTAGGGTTTACTCTTCATGGGGTTATGAGATTATGAAATGGAATAATGTTTATCGTGACTCTGGTGGCACTGGTGAATGTTGATGAAGGTTGGGGCTGGATGGTATATGTTATTGGTATGAGAAAGAACGAACTTGTATACATGCGGAAAACTACTCCGTCTTCGCCGTCTTCCCTTTGACGCGGTCCCGGAGCGCAACGAGCTTTCCGCCCAGCCGGCTCTTCAGGGTCTGCGATCGCATGGCCGAGGCCTCTTCGGCCGTCACGAAACGGCGCACCAGCAGATTGAAGATACTGCCAAACGCCAAGGCGATCACCGTGCTCGTCAAGATGATCACGTTGTAGGGCATGCTGAAGTCCGGAGTCGGGAGTGGGAGAAGCAGGCTCGTCGTGCGGATGTAGATCGGGTGGCTGGCGCCGCCGTCCGCCGAGCCCAGCTTGATCACCGCCGGAGCCACGTTGAACCCGCGGTTGGCGTCTGGGGGATACTCCGTGTACCGCAGGATGGCCTTTTCGAAATCGTAGGTCAGCGTAACCGTCGACGCGGCCGGCACGGAGAGCGCCAGCTCGAGCTGGGTCCCGCGTTCGCGATCGATGGCTGGGCGGTAGAAGGTTTCTTTGATGAATTGCGAGGCGGGCACTTGGCGGCGCAGCCCGTCGCGGCCCGTGATGGTGGCCTGCAGGGTGTGGACGTAGGGGCGGAGGAACCAGGGCAGCGTCTCGAAGTAGATGAAGTCAACAGCGTTGGTGTCCGAGGGGTTGTCGAAGATGATCCGCATCCCGCCCCGTTCCTGGCCGTGTCCGACGATCGTGCGCTCGGCGCGCAGGACAGGCTCATCGAGCGGAACCTGGGTCGTGGCCTCTTGCTCGGGGATGGCGAGGTCAAAAGGTGTGGACGATTCCAGGGTAAAACAGCGAGTGTAGCCGTCGGGCCTTTGGACTTCCACCGCGCCGTCAGTCGCATGGACTTCGCGTTCGTGTGGCACTCGCAGGCAGACCGTCCCGTCGGTAGAGCCCTCGGTGAGAGGGCATGATCCGCTAATGCTGCGGCCGAAGATCTCAGACAAGCCCCAGCTCTTTTCGGACGTGCTCTCTAGCGGGTAGCAGGTATCATCGGAGTGGTAAGGCTTGGATGTGTCGCACACGAGCTGCTCGTTAGGCACGGGCCGTGGGATGGGGTTATCTAGGGACAGAATCAGCACAGGTCGCCACGTGTCAAGCAAGCTATACTAACCCCGTGGACGCTTGGACCGGTCGATATCGAGCACAATGTCCACCGACTGATCAATCTGCACAACACACTCTCCGGTCTGCGTGCAGATCGGACGCACATCCACGGACATACTCTGCCACGAAGCATCAAATAGCTTGTGCCCGTCCAGAAGACTAGCCACGCCCGCCTTGCCCTTACAAGGAAGGAGCTTCAAAAATGGCGTCAAGTTCTCGGTGCAGACCACCTCGCCAGGAAGTGTTCCGTGCAGAAGATGCAGATTATCCGAAGCCGCGTGAGTCCCCATGGGCTCAAACGACACGACCGGCCTCGTCGTCCTGGTCGAGTCGATGAAGTTCAACGAGGCACAGAAGAGCCCGGAGAGCGACTGGGCCAAGGTGATCCATTTCGCGAAAGCCCTGGTTGATGTCAACATTGTATCCTATCTGTCCGGCCACCCCAGCATCAAACGTACGCTTCGTCATCCACGGCATCAATCCACGCCCACAGCTCCACACCGGTGCCGCCCTCCTTGGTTCCATTCCACGGGCGAGGACCCCAGCTCTCAGCATCCCATCGACCCGTTGTGAACCGGAGGTGAAGCTCCTTGGTATTGGCGTGGCGGAGGATCTGACCTAGCGCGCGGGGGAAGTAGCGGAAGTGACGCTCGTCAAAGGAGGTCTGCGAGTCATTGCTCTGGAAGTTGAAGGAAGCTAAAAGCGCGGATTGCGGAAGTGGTTGGAGGACGAGGCTCTCAAGGTAGTCGGAGTTCGCGGAGGCGAGCGAGGAGAACGCAGCCAGGAAAAGTAAAGAGAGTAGCGAAAGGACAGTCATCACGTCATGCTGGCCGACACGGAGGCGTCAGAAAGAATCCAGTCAAAGATATCTTGATGCACCACCCCTCGGTGGTGGAGATGCGACGTTCGGCAGCTGCGCTGCTGGTAGGAGATGCAACAAGTGACAATTGCGGAGACACCTGCAGTACGTCAACGACGATTCGGTCAGATCGAAGCCTAACGGTTCAGGCTCTGTTAGAATCGACAGTCATCTAATTACCCGTTATATCATGGGAAAAGTATTCCTGTAGTCGAGATGATGAGCGAAGTAGCATGGATAATGTATAAAACCCCAAGGCGAACAGGGGCCCGGAGCTCACATAAGCGCAGCCAACCGCGGTTAGCGCCACGCCCGCAGAACTTCCCGGCCAGAACAGAAGAAGCAGCAGAAGCTCTTCAAATCAAACTCCTTCAAGTGCGATCATTCCTTTTCTCGCCCCTCCATCTCCTCACCCCTCACCCCTCACCCCTCACCACTCTTTCAATCCCAGGCATCAATCTCCCACCATGGCTGCGGAACAAAGAAAGCTGCTTGAGCAGCTCATGGGAGGTACGTTACCAACAATCCCTTCTCGCGCGTTCCCAGCTCTCTTTCCCTGTCAAACACCGCAATCCCAGATAGCTAGCTGACCCTCAACACCTTGACTGCCGCAGCGGATCAACTCGTCGGCACAGGATCGCAATCTCGCAATGCGCAACTCGCCATCACCGACCCGAAAGTCTGCCGCTCCTACCTCGTCGGCACCTGCCCCCACGACCTCTTCACCAACACCAAGCAAGACCTGGGCCAGTGCCCGAAAGTGCACAGCGAAGGATTGAAGACGGAATACGAGGCTGCCTCGGCCGCGGAGAAGGCTAAGTGGGGGTTCGACTACGATTACATGCGCGACATGCAGAAGTACATTGACGACTGTGACCGCCGCATCGACTCGGCGCAGCGACGGTTGGAGAAGACCCCGGATGAGATCCGACAGACGAATAACCTGGTACGCCTGGCTCTCTGCTGCTCTGCTTCCCCCCTTATCTTGCTGGAACACGTGAAACTAATCTTTTCTGTCTTCGTCGCTCTCCAGCTCAAACAAATCGCCGACCTCACCAACACCATCAACTCGGGTCTGCTCGAGATCTCCGTCCTGGGCGAGACGGGCGCCGTCGCCCAGGCCTTGAACGAACTGCACAAGATCCGCACCGCCAAGCACCAGAAGGAGACGTGCGAGCGCGACCTCAAGAACCTCCAGGACACCTCGGGCCCCTCGGGCCACCAGAAGCTGCAGGTCTGCGACGTCTGCGGCGCGTATCTGAGTCGCCTCGACAACGACCGTCGCCTGGCGGACCACTTCTTCGGCAAGATGCACATGGGGTACTCGGACATGCGCAAGACCTTCAAGCGACTCAGCGAGGAGCTCAAGGGCCGGCCCCCGCCGGTCCGGCACCACGAGGACGAGGACGACCGTGATCGGGGCTGGGGTGGTGGCCGCTCCGGGGGCGGGGGCCGTGGGCCTCGCTATGGTGGTGGTGGTGGCGGCGGCGGCGGCGGCGGCTACAAGAAGCGTGGTCCTCGGTGGTGATGATGACGATGACGACGATCATGAAACAAGGAGGAGGGGGTTTTGGATTGTCCTATACCGATTTCTGTTCTTTTGTCTTTCCTGTTCGGTTGTACGCTCTCACCTTTGGTCTTTGCATAGCGTAGGCGTTTCCTTTCACGACCATGTTGGCGGATGTCATGGCTATTTTCTTCATGTTTCAAAAAGATATTAAACATCACTCACCTTATTTTAGCGACACAAACAATCTACGCACTGCGGTATAATACCCTGTATCCATCTTCTACAATTAATACAAATTCATGAAGTAGAAATTTTCATATCTGACTAATGAGTATATTGTCAATCGATCAAAAATGATCTGCGGTTTGCCGTACAATCTGGAAATGCATACATCAAATTGGCCTCTGGAGTGACAACCGGCAATCCAGCCAAACCGTAAATCAGCATAACCATCGCTGGATCAAATAAACAGCCTGCGTGTCTTCACAGAAAAGAAAAAGGGCAAAGAACAAAAACATGGATGAAATAGTAGGAAGAAACCCCCTCCCCCATTTTCGCCCAAATACACATTTTAAGAACGGATGAAGATGGAAGAAAAAAAAAAAGAAAAGAAAGACATAGGTAATAGACCTTTGGGGAAAAGGGCACACAGTGGGATTTGAACACCAAGTTCCAACTATGAGACTGCAAGGAGAATGTAAGAAAACGGAGGGAAGGAGAAGATGATGATGCAGAGGAAGAGAATGAGAAAAGGAAAGAAAGATGATGTACTATACAGCAACTTAGTATCTAAGCTTTCCCTCTACCGGTTGTTCGGCTGTCCACCACCATGATGGCCATTGGCCGCTGTGACCTTGAATAATTCGTCGGTCAGCAACTTATAATCTGAACTGGCCTCGGGACGGCGTTGCAGGATCTCCTGGATCACGCTCAGCTGAGAGACGTCGGCATTCGGGGCCTGCTGCAGCAGTTGCTGGAGAGCCGGAGAATGAGCAGCCTGCGGGCCTAAGACCTGGAGAGCTGCCGCCAGACCCGTGAAGGGGGCCTGGTGGGTGGAAGCTTGAGGAGGGGAGTAAGAGGGGTATTGGGTGGTAGCTGCGGGTGGTTGCTGCGGTTGCTGGCTGTAGGGAACGGGCGCCTGCGGCGTGGCGGGAAACGATGGTGCTGGGCTGGGGGTGAATTGCGAGGCGTGGCGAGGGGGTGCTGGGGTCAGGAATTGTTGTTGCTGTTGCGAGGCGGCCATGGTGACAGGGCTGGCAGAAGCACCGGGCTCCTGGCTGGTGGGATGAGAAGGCTGGACGGAGGGAGGATTCGAATCGCCTGTCTTGACGGCGAAGACGACCAGGAGAACCCGCTCGGGCATGGGGTCCTCGAGGGTGTTGTTCTCCAACAGCT